GCAACATGATGAATAAGCTGTTTAATCGTTTTAGATTATTCTTTTTTTTCTAAATCCTTAAATTTAGAAAAAAAGAATAACCCAAAATCGATTCTCAACCGATTCTCCCATTCTCAATGGTATTGTTGTATAAGAAAGAATACCCTATTTTGGTGACCGCAACTGAACAGACCCGCAAGTTCTGCAGTCACAGCATCCTGCAAAGTCCTTTTATCTAGAATCTTTGCTCTATCTGTGCAGTTTTCCTCCTAAAATTTAAATAGCTTACTTGTATGAATAATCTTTAAATTGTCTAATACGTGTTCTTTCACATAGTCGAAGAGCAAACGCATAATTGCATTTTCTGTTAAAATAAAAGGAACTTTTTGGGGTCTTGTAAAGTTAAGGTAACAAGACCGATGATAATAAAACTCTAAGAAAACCAATAAGTTTACCCAATATACTAGCTAGGTTTTCACTTTTACTTAAGCGTTTTCTTTTAACATGTTTGCTGCGCTTTCTGTTTCAAATTTTGCCCAGTAGGCACGGAAGTAAAAAAGAGGTTTTTAAACGTCTTATACTCATTTTGGACCTCTTTTAAACGTTTTGGAGGTCTTTTGAACGTTCAAAAGACGTCTTTTTTAGGTCCGGTGTCCATTTGGTGTAAGCGTTTTATATCCGTTCGTATATTTATTAATCTTTTTGCAATCGCAAATGCAACACTCTTCATCCGCAATAATTTTTCCTGAAACAAAGGAATTATTTTAATTTTAAAGTAGTATATAAAACATAAAAAAACCGTTAAAGTTGAGGGCAATATTCTTTGTTTTGCATTTCACACTCAAGGGTTTTTTAATTTACCTAATCTATCTGTTTTTTGAGCTGAGGTTTTGCGCTTAAATGAGGATGCATTATCCACGCCCAGAGCCGTCCTTGGGGTGGCGCGAGTGGAGCAGCCGCTCCAGGCCTCGCGCTTAGGAATCTTAAATAAGAGCAATCAAAACTTTTACTTATTGTTAACAAGAGTAGGGCCTCGCGCAGCAACACCTAACTATTATTAAAAAATAAAAGGTGTTACTGTTGTTAAAACACAAGAAAAAGTTTTGGTTAAATGAAAATAAAACAACACAAATATACGTGCCAAAATGATATGTGAAATAGCGAACAAAAAATGCAAATCTTTGTTCAAAGCTATCGAAACTTTTCTGTTTAAATTATATATTAGATTATATTTAAAAAAATCTATTTTAAAGACTGAAAAAGTTACAAGAAAAAAAAAAATAGATCAGCCGAAAATTTCATTTTATTCTTTAAAACTAAAAAAGAAGAAAAAACGAAATATCTAAAAAAAAAGAAACGAGAGCGAATTAAATGAAAGAACTTAAAATAAAATTCAAAAGTAACGTAAGTAAAATAAAGTTAATAAAAAAAGTTGAATAAAAAAAAGGTAAAAAGTAAATAGGCTGCAGACCGGAAGTCTGAAGGAGCAGTTATCACTGGTCATGCGATATGTAAAAATTAATATGAATGTCACTTCTCTTAAGATAGAAAATGAAGATGTAAGCATCAAAGAAAATTTCCTTACATTCATAGACGTTAAATCAACAACGGGAAAAAATCTAATTAATTTTCTTTTACAAGAGTTAGATGAAATTGGATTGAACAATGGTATGACAACGCTTCCAATATAAAAAGTATCCACTCTTGAGTAGAGGTATGGATCTTAAAAATAAATTCAAAAGAATTTTACATGCCCTGCGCTAGCTATAGCCTCAACTTCCTAATTTAGGACGCAGCAAAATGATTATCTAAATCTATGACGTTTTTTTGATGCTGTGCAAAGAATTTATGTACTTTTTTCTTCGTTAAAAATAAAATAACAAGTTTTCATTCAACACGTACTAAATCTGGCTGTAAAAAAGTCCTGTGACACTAGTTGGTAAAGTAAAATCGAAAGCGTAAAAGCACTTCGAAATCAAATTAAGGAAGTTCATACTGAATTAGTTGAACTAGTTGAGTTCGCTAAGAACCCAAAAAAAAAAAGCCAATAGTGAAACACCATCAGTTATGAATGAAATAAATTGTGAAATAAAAACCTATAGACTCAAAAAATGCATCTTGGAGTTGCGTCGCAGTTACTTCATAGGCTAGTTCAGATTTTTTCAGAAATTTGGATTTAGGTTTTGAGGTGGCAACACTGTTAGCAAGAGAACTTAGTGAAACTCTTGGTGTAGAGCCAAATTTCAATGAAGCCAGGAAGATAAAGAAAAGAAGAATGTTTGAGTACAAAGAATATCCTAATATTCCTCGTACTTAAACATTCTTCTTTTTCTTCATATTTATATTCCTTTAATAACTTTAACAATAAATTTATTGTTATTATTCTAGATTATTTTACAAAGCAATCAGTCCTTTTTATAAACCTACACAAAAATAACAACTCAAAATTATACCAACCCGAAATTTATGCTTTGCACTTTTTTCAGACAGTAAGAGAAAAAGTTTTTCTCTGTCAAAGCACCTAAAATCATGACTTTCAAGAAGGCCTCGCAAAAGTGTTTCGCTCTGGACTTGTATTTTCTGTCCACGCCTCCATTCTTGTTGACTTTTTCTGCTTTATTTTTCCGATGTTGTAAAATGTTTTTATATTTACATACTTATCGTAACAACTTTGATGAAATAAAAAAGTTGTTGGGCACGTATCAGGTAGAATGTTTATGATTTTAAAGCCATTTCGAATTTGACAGCAGTAAAAAAAAATATTATTATCAAGTTTTTGCTATTTATTGTTTTTTCCGTACCATTGTTTAAGGCGTATATAGAAAAATAAATTGAGTTGTATATTTAGTTTGTGGCTTATCAAGTATTGTAAGTCACAATGCTCGGTTTATAAGTCACTATGCACAAGGCTTCACTTTCGCATGCGCATTTTCAGTAAAACCACGCAGTTTATTATAATAACGACCAACTTCACCTTGATGAAGTATATAAGCATTTTTAATTTTTTCTAGGAACCAGATTAAAATGCTGAATTTTTTGGATACTCGCCATTATTGAGCAGCCGTGGCGCAGTGGTTAGAGTTCTGGCTCAGAACCCAGAGGTCCGGGGTTCGAAGCCAGCTCTAGCACAACAAGCGACATTGGTACGGAAGGAGGCGTGAACTTCCTGTTAAATGCTTTCCCGCGGTGCTCTATGATAAGACCGTAAGGACTTCTGGGAGCACCTAAATACATACAAAAAAAAAATTTAGTTTAATAATAATAAATAAATAAAATTAAAACACTTTTTTTTAGTTTTATGGTTTATATTTTTGGAACAACCGTTTCTTTTAAAATGATTTCAAAAAATTTTCTTTACTTTTAAAAAGAACTTTGATAACTTAAAAAAAAGTAAAGAGTTTTTAAAAAGTACACATTTTTTAACGTAAACAAAGAACGGGAACATTGTTAATTTTTTAGATTTATTAAATTAAAATTATTTCATATTTTTAATACAATATTAAACAAAAATTATAAACAAATTATTTTTAAAATAAGGTTTATGAAATTTTGGTTGCATATATTTGAGAAATTATATTTAAAACATCTAATTTTACACACAATAAACCCCCTGTCAATAATTTGTTAAAATTAAATCAATGCTTAGCGGTATTGGATTTATAATCAACATGGCGGTTATATTATACTTAAAATCTTTTCAATAAGCTGGATCAATTTTTGTCTCTTATTTAAGTTATAAGCACTTTCCAGGTGGCACGTAAAAATTTTTAAACTTCTTAAGCTATAAGGAACAAGTCTATATAAAAATGTGAATGTCCACTCAAAATGTTAAGTTTTCTTTTTTTTTTACATGTAACGACCAGACTATTACGTTGTAACTGTTTATCGTAGAAAATTAAATTGAATTTGCTTCTATCATGTCTCCATTGTTTATTTATAATTAATATAAGTGATCCTAATGAATTGAAGCTTGAATCAAATAATTCAAAATTAGCGACATGAGTGTCATGTATTCTTCATAAACAGCATAAAATTTGAACCAATTGTTTCAACTAAAGCATGTCATTAAATTATATAAATTATTGATTCATACAAAGTCTGAGTTTATATAAATTCGTAGGCAATGACTATTAAGTACATGAATGCCACTTCGTTTTTAACAACAAAGTGCTTGATGATATATATATATATATATATATATATATATATAAATATATATATATATATATATATATATATATATATATATATATATATGATTTAAATGTTGACATCTTGTACGAGAGTGAATATATATATATATATATATATATATATATATATATATATATATATATATATATATATATATATATATATATATATATATATATATATATAAACTAATTTAAAACATCAGATAATACGAATTCTCTCATTACTAAATAATTTATTTGAAATTTTGGCCGGAATGAATACATCATTAGCATATAAAATAATTACAAAAATTGTGACCGTTAAATAACAACAAAAAACTTTTAAATTTTGACGTCACCTTTATAATGGCTTCTTTTACCTAAGTATGAAAAAAATGAAGTCCAAAAATTTGTTTTTAAATATTGTCCACTGTCCAAATTCATACCACCGAAAGTTGGAAAACATTGATGTTTTTGTATCTCTAAGGCCTCACGGACTTTTCTTTCAAATTTTTTATCCTCAACTTTAAGTGTTATTACTTTATTCCATTCAATGTCCTCATTACAATTTACCTAATGCAAAGCTAATGCAGACTAATTTAACTTGCCTTTAGTCAAAATTTTTTGGTGTTGTTGAACCCTTGTTCGTATTTGAAGTTTTGTTTCACCAACGTATACTTTGGAGCATTTGCACTTAATTAAATCGGTTCCTAGGGTGCTGTTGCATGGTAATTTAGACTTATTTTTAGACGTTAATAGCGTTTTAGGGTTAGCATTTGATTTAAAAACAGTTCTGTAACCAGCTTTTCTGAATATTCTTCCAAGTCTGGGAGATATTATTGGTATTCATGGTAAAGAGATTGTAGGAAGATTATTAGAGTTTGATGGAATTTCATTTTTGTTCGCAAAACGTTTTTTTCGAACCTGTTTAGAAATTTCTTTAAGCATTTTTTCATCGTATCCATTTTCAGTAAACACTTGAATTAAAAAATTTATCTCAACGTTTAAATGGTTTTCGCTGCATATTGAGTATGCTCTGTGTATGTATCCTTTGAATATTGCTTGTAAAATTTTAGGATCATGATTAGAATGAGGTTTGATTTGGATATTGGTTATCGCATCCTTTCTGTAAACCTTGAACTCATATTTTCCTTGGGTATTATTAATAATAGTTATATCCAAAAAGTTAAGTATCTTATTTTTGTTTTCAACCTCAATAGTATATTTTAAAGAAGGATGTTGTCTGTTAAGAATTGTTTGGAACTGTTCCGCTTGAATTAAGTTAAAAAACCTTGCATGGCTATCGTCTACATATCTATGAAAGGATTTAATATCAATTAAAGGAATCATTGTCGTTGCCATTTTTATTGCTTTTTCCTCATGGTATTGTAAAAAAGATTCAGCCAAAACAACCATAAAAGAAAATCCAATTGGGCCTGAATTCTCCAACTCATGAATCTCACCATTCCACAAGAAATAACAACGAAACAAACAAAGCTCAATTAGTTGTTTTGTTTCAGTTAAAGTAAGTTTAGTTGAGTTTTTGTAAGAAACGCTTTTATTTAATTGATCCAAAAGTATTAAAGTTGCTTCTTTTAATGGTATTGATGGGTATAAGTTGACAATATCAAAGGATACCTGTATTTCATCTTTGTCAATCAGCCACGACTTAGTTTTGTTAATAATGTCTTTTGAATTTTTTAACTTAATAGGATTTTCATTTAAGACCGGTTGTATTCTTTTAACCAAGTAATTCAAAATTCCATAACAAGGTATGCCAATAGTTGATACAACTACTCTCATCGGATAAAATTTTTCTTGTTTATGAGCTTTAATTAGCCCATACAAACGTGGTGGGACAGGGTCACTCGGGTATACGCTTCCATGCTCATCATTAGAAAAACGTTGCTTTTTGTTAAGTTTTGAAAGGAAAGACTTTATTTTAGCTGCATAACTTAGAGTGGGATCAATACTAATAATTTTTGTTGGACCAATCTGTTCTCTAATATTTTCAATTGTTTTATTATGTTCTATTCTTACAAATCCTATTCATTTATCAAATGGATGAATATCAATTTTCTTGTCTTGAATAATTTCTTTAAATGCTTTTCTTTGATCTCTCGTTAGATTATGATTAATTTTTTTGCCCATTTTAAGTTCTCTCAATACATTTTTCCTTAGGTTTTGCGCTTTTTCAATTTCTTTATTATATTCGAGTTTTAAGGCAGACGATTCAGTTGTTGTAATAATGTCCATGTAAGGTATAGATCAGGTATCACAAAGAATTAAAATCACGTTTTTAGTGTATTTCTTTAATTTCTTATTACTTTTGTTGTAATTGAATTCACTTTGAAGTATTTTGAACTTTTTAATTAATCGTTCTTTAGATTTTATAAACATATTTTCACGAGCTTTTTCAGTGATAAATAGCACTTGATTATAGTCTTTGTCTTCAATCTTATTTTTAAGATCTCTCTCGAGGTTTTTAGTAATATTAATAAGATTAAATTATCGTCTTTTAGAATCGTTTTTTATACAAACTAAAAGTTCAAATCTAAAACGAAAAATGATACTTCTCGCTTTCTTTTTTTTATTTTCGTGAATATATATATATATATATATATATATATATATATATATATATATATATATATATATATATATATATATATATTTATTTATATGTATATATATATATATATATATATATATATATATATATATATATATATATATATATATATATATATATATATATATATATATATATATATATATATATATATATATGTATATATATATATATATATATATATACATATATATATATAAATATATACATATATATATATATATATATATATATATATATATATATAATTATACTTATATAATATATATTACATTATCTGATAGCATATTCCATGCGTTGACAATGCGATTGTTAAAAAAGTGGAAACGAGCTAAATGGGTGCTCTACCTTTATGATGAAGTCCTTTTCTGTGATTTTCTCTTAGTGGAAAATGTGATGAGAAGAAAGTGCCAGTTGACAATGTCTATGTTATTAACAATTTTGTATTTTTTCAACTAAGATAGATAGGCCAAGTTGTAAACATCTGGACTTGTAGTCTAATTTTTTCAGTTTGTTTGGTATTTTTGTGGCTCTGCACTGTTTTAGCTCAGTAGTTTGTCATCTTTCACCAAATGAGGGTTTAAAGCTGGAATTGAAAACTCAAGTAAAGGAAGGATGCAGGTGTAGTAGAGTTGTTTCCATAAAGAAGCATCACGAGATTGAAAAGTGTATTTTAGGATGCCTAGCATTTGATTTGCATCACATGAGACAATGATGGATTGTGATTTTACTTTAAGGTCATTGGTAATTTGAATTTACAAGTCATGCTCAGAGGTAGTTGCTTCCAATGTAGTTTGAGTAGTTATTGAACAAGGCCACATTTCCTTCATTGAGTACTTGAAAGGAGTTATTTTTTTTTAGCCAAAGTGCATGCCTTTGCATTTCTTTGCATTTAGTTCCATGAGCGAAGTCCAATGAACAATTTGGTCAATATCTGATTGGAGATGAAGTTGAGCAGCAAGTGAGTTGACAATGCTCAGGATTTTAGTGTCATAAGCGTAGATTTTACATATGTTTTCTTTGTTTTCCTTGATTAAAATAACAAATAAAATTGGACGCAAGACTAATCCTTGCGGAACCTCACTTGTCACAGGTAACCAATTTGATTGAGTGTCACCAAGGATGACTCGTTGAGACCTGTTAAGTAAAAAAGCTTTTATCCAATTGAAAAGTTTACCTTCGATTCTGTACATTTTCAGTTTGTAAAGCATTCGTGTGGCATTGTAAAGCATTCATGTGGCACTTTGTCAAATGCTTTGACGAAAATCAAAAATATGACGTCGACTAGTAGTATTCTGGCCATATTTTCAGTCAAGAAGTCCATTATTTCAAGGAGATTTGTTGTTGAGGATTGTGTTAGTTCTATGATCAAAAAGACTGTCATTGGATGGCTCTTGGCTAAAAACTGCTTGAAAGTGATTGTTAAGTGAGTTAACGGTTTTAATTTTGTCAGAGATAATGATTTCACTGGAACTGGTGATTCGCATATATGAGATCTGATTTATTACAGAATGTTTACTATTTATGTATGAAAATAGTCTTTTAGGGTTGCGCTTATCATGAGCAAAAGCAAATTCGAAAGATTTCAGAAAATAACGACTTAGTTTTTTTACAAACTTTCTAGTTTCTCTATATTCGTTGACCAGGGATGCAATTTTCCATTTTGAACTAACCTTACGAGCCCACAGCAATTTTAAGACAAATCAGGGATAAAAGTTCTTTTGTCATCCATGGTTGTTTGTTTGGGGATGGTTTGTTTGGCATGTGAGAGATGAATTGAAGGCAAAACTTATTGTATTTGTTTAGCCAAATTTGATAACTTTGTTCTTCGTTTAAGTCTTTAGAAATAGATGACCAGTTAATTTTATTGAACTCTTTTTTGATTTTTTTGTAGTTACCGAGGTTGTATATAAATTTAGAGCTGTTAAAATGCGATAAATTTCCGGTGGAAGCTAGTGTGTATTGCCAGGTGATATAGCAATATTATTGATCACACAAACCGAGTGGAGAACCGATGTTGATTTTAAGCACGATATGGAGAGTCACGTTTTATGAGATCAAGATTGTTTGTCGGAGGGCGATTAGGAAGTTTGAAAGTAAGGACATGAAGTTTTGGTGAAGATGACAATCTTGAAGAAGAGAGACAAATAAAGAACTGAGACCAATTCTACCAGAGGAGAAGACTGAATTGGAAGTCTAAGTAATCTCTGGGAAATTGAAATCACCGGCAATGTTTATGCCATTGTATTAGTTGGTCAATACTGATGTTTCAGTATGGAAAATATCACCTAAAATCTCTGAGAAGGGTTCGATACCAGAAGATCGAGGTCTATATATGCAGCCTAAAAGCAGAGTTTCATTCCGAAGTTTTAGTTTCACCCATTTTTGTTTTCAATAGTAACAAATAAAATTTTTGTGTAGTAGGGAATCCTGTAGTAGGTTTGAGATGATTTTATTGTTTGTGCATATAGCTACACCTCCTTCGACTTGGTTCAGACGATCTTAACGATAGAGGTTGTAGTTTGGAAGAGTTGATTGGTCGTTGAACCATGTCGTTGTTATAAAAATAATGTCAAAGGAGTTGTTTTCTGCAAGAGTTCGATGAGTTTTATTGAAATAAAGGAAATCGCATTAGTGTAGAAGCACGAAAAATTAGATAATTTAATGGAAGATCTGACTTTGTTTAAAAATGTTGAACTAGTAAGATGCCGAGAGCAATTAAATGGCCTCAGCAGCTAATTCTATTTGAGGTATTAGTTCTACTCTCTTCCATTGATGTTAATTGTTTGGGATGTGTCAATGCATTTAATTTTTTCACTGCGGATGACAAATCGAAAGGGCTTATCAAGTAAATCTTTTATCAAAAGGTCTGCATTTTAAGTACCACGTTTTTTGTTTAAGTTATTAAATGTTTCTTGTTCGAGAGGTGTACGGTCTAAACGAATATAGACAGATTTTAATTTATCTATTGTATTTTTGTAAGTATATATATATATATATATATATATATATATATATATATATATATATACATATATATATATATATATATATATATGTATATATATATATATATACATATATATATATATATATATATATATATATATATATATATATATATATATATATATATATATATATATATATATATATATATATATATATATGAATATATATATATATATATATATATATATATATATATATATATATATATATATATGTATATATATATATATATATATATATATATATATATATATACATATATATATATATACATATATATACATATATATATATATACATATATATATATATATATATATATATATATATATATATATATATATATATATATATATATATATATATATATATATATATATATATATATATATATATATATGTATATATATATATATATATATATATATATATATATATATATATATATATATATATATATATATATATATATATATATATTTCACGGAAAAAAACACATCTAAACTTCATTTTAGTAATTGTGTTAATAAGGTATCTAATATAATATAAAACAAAAAGCTCACATCCTGAGCTTTGTTATTAAGGGTGGTAGCCCTCTTTACAAATTATTTGCTTCAAGATGGACTTCCTTCTAGAAGAAAATTGGGCAAAAATTGGTCAAGGTATTCACAGTGATTTAAGCAGAGCATTACATGTTTGGTGTGGAAAGTTCTCATTAATGGTCCCTTCTCTTACTACAAGAGTTGATTTCTTAGAAGCTGAAAATAAAAATCAACGAAAGGAAATTGATTTTCTTAAAAATAATAACAATGCAAATATCACTTATCAAAACAATATTCACAGTGCTGACGTCTGGGCAGGTTTTGTAAGTAAAAAAAAGGACATTGCTGCCAAAGAGAAAAATGCTGCTTTGTTTGCCAAAATTTCAAAAGAAAACAACAAAAAAAATAGAATTTTAATTAATATTATCATAAGTGGTCTTACTGAGTCAGTAAATTTGGATGATGATAATAAAGCGATTGATGAAATTCTTACCATTCTTAAAGTATCTTCTGACGATGTAAAAGTCAAAAAAACGACTTAAAAAGAAAAATGCCTTTCCTCCTCCTATCTCTTGTGAGATCAATAATCAATTTAATTCTGTGTCTTCACGTCCTCCATTGGTTTTAATTAAATTCAAAAACTATGAAAAACGTCAATCAGCTTTGGCTAATGCAAGGGAACTAAAAACTAAGTTTGGTTTAACAAAAGTTTATGTACGACCAGATCAAACTGAAAATAAAAGAATTGCTCTCTCTAAACTTCATGTTGAATGTAGAATTAGAAACCATACTCTTCCAAATTTTTTTGTGGATTTGCAAGGGAGGCAACTCAATTGGGGTACAAGAGATGGTAAAAAAGGATTTTGGTCTGTACGATCTGGCACAATTCGATGAATCGAGCGCAAAGAATAGAACACCAAATCCTAACACTTACAGTCCTCTATATCTAGCTATTCTTTATCTGACCTCAAATGTCTTTATTTTAATCCAACATCTTTGGATAATAAATGGGATGAATTCCAAGTTAGAATTACGTCACTGGATTACCAACACATCGTTGCGGTCACTGA